ATAAGCTGTGATAGAGAAGGAAGAGAAGTTGTTAGTTTGCAAAGTGGGAATCCAGCAAGCCTTTTTTTGCGGCTGCGGACAAAGCAGCATCCGCGAATCATTAACAAAGGAAAGACTCTCTGAATACTAATAGTCTGTTTTTATTGTATGCATAATCTGAGTACAAATAATCTGCTTAGCTATGCTCTCTACCTAGCTTTGTCAGTATCTCAAAACCTATATTTGCTTCTACACAATCATACTTGTTTTTGGCATTGGATGAAACACGTTTACTCCAGCTTAGTATAGGTTGCAAGCCTGACGAGAAGCTCAAGCAGCTATTCTTACGAAAACGATCAGAATACCAGATCTAGCAGCTCTTCCTCAAAACGGCCTCCTAATGTTGGGGTAGAGTCGGAATGCGCAATTCAAGCTTTGGAGCATTGTCTGCAGGTAAATGCTCGAATCTCTTTGAAAGACAATTATGAGGAAAAATTTGTATTATAGGCACTAAACGCTTTAGATGGTATTGATATAGATATGGATCAGATGTGTCCGTTCAAGCCGGATAGCCCGGATGAGGTTGCTGCCATGAAAACTATCCGCAGTAGGTTTATACTATTTCTAGCTTATTCCTCCCAAGGAACTCTTAGAAGGCTTTCTGTCCAATGACTGCAAGAACCAAACTCATATCGTAATGCATAAGTTTTAGCAAGAGACAACCTGGCTATACGTCGTATGTTCCGCCACGCGATTTTGATTAGGGCTGCTTCCGCATACCTGCCACTGGTTTATCAGGCGCTCTGTTTAGAACGTAATGTGAAAGCCTACAACTACTCTCGCTGTGCCACGACGCTGTGCGGTTAGATTTTTGAAATCTACAATGACAGAGCAGACTAAGGTTCATGGCTTTTCTCTAGAAATACATGGCTGAATATTGTAGGGGCCGTCTTATCAACGAGACCAGTATCCCGTCACACTTCTATATGTCATGCTCTTTTACAAGTTTTTTTGTCTACTTTTGCACATGCTGCTTCGGAACTCACCGATGAATTAGTGGACACGACTGCACTCGTATGACTTACTATATCAGTTTTTATTTATTCATCTTCGTATATTCAGTCCCAATTATTCGATATTATAACAATTCAATTCGACTGTTTTTCGTTTTTCCATTTTTTTTAGAACAATGCAATTTCTTATCGCGATCGTCGCTTTATGGAACTTGCAACGTTTGGAGTCGTTATGAAAGGTGATGCAACTAATTTTGTCCTTCTCCTTTGTCGATATTGACCTAAGACTTGCTTGTTTCCATTGCCAATTCCCCGAGCGCTTGGATTTCCTTTTTTGGCTGTATCATTCTTACATTTGAAGCGTAGCGCGTATATCACGAGGTTCATTGTTTTTGCTTCTTTGATTAAGCTAAAACTTCCTCGCAGATCTACTTATTTTCTCTCAAATGATATTTGCAGTTGCCTAGATTTT